GGAAACATTAGTGAAAATTCTGTTGGTGCCACCCTTTGATGAGCATTTGTTTGACCCCAGTTTCTTCTTACACTTCTTACCCCAGCCTACCCTTCCTGCATTTCTCTTCTCAGCTCTTCCATGATGGATTCCCCCCCCTTTCCTAAAGCCATCATGCCTTGATAAATATATATGATCATTGAAATACTTTTTAACAAGAAACAGATTCTATATTATTATATATATATATATATATATAAAGATATATAGAGATGCATTCACAGGGGTTGGCTGGGAGGAGGAAGAAGACCATTCTGTGACCAAAATACCTTGGTCATTTTTTTTTTATATTGCCTTATTTCCCTATGGCTGAGCCTTGTTGTGACACATCAAGCTTTTCTATAGATGTTGTCTTGGCTTCCCACCAGATTAAGCATTCATACGCTCTGCTTTTAGTTCATATATACATACATAATGTTTTTCCTTTCTTAATTTTGTCTTTTTATTTGGGATCAGCTTCTTGCACTCCTTTCCTAACTCAACTGTTGCCGTCTCACCTTCTCTCATGTTTTGTTTTTGTTACTGCCTGGATGAGGCACTTCTGTCAATTTTTTCAAGACCTTAGTTCCAGCAGCAGAATGGAAAAATCTTTGAAGCCCAGGCTGATGCTTGAAGTAGCTGTGGAGGGAGTGTTCAAAATACTGCTGACGCAGGCACCTTCTTGGCGCTGGAGAGTCAAAGTCATCTCCCTTCATTAGCTGCTCTAAGCATCGAAAATTAGAAGTCTTTGGGTGGAATTGTACAAGAGTCCCTTTGAAGATTATAATCTTGACTCAGTTTGTATAAACTGTCAAATTTTCAAATAATAGGTAGGGGGCTTTCACTAGGAAAATCATGTGCTCAGAGAGGAGATGACTTGTAGTCAGGTTCAGAAGTTAGAGTATTTGGACTTTGGTACCACTGTCTTCCAGGGTAGCTCTAAGTTTTGATGTGTGGGCTTCTGAGTTTACATTCTGAAAGTAAATATACTTTTGAACATCCCCACTAGGTTCTTTTCCATTGTCAATAAGGAGCATCAGCCAATGAATCTGTTTCAGGTTTCCATTCTGCAGAACTCCTCCAGAACATGTACTAGTGGCAAGACAGTGGTTCTTAGGATCTTTTCCCTTAACTTTTCCTTGAATGTTCTTGGGTGGTTCCTAAGGGAAAAGGAAGCACATGATCATGGGAATGCTAGCCCAGAACAAAAAGAAATCTTGTCTTACCACGGTGGTTTATAGGAGAGATTGGGAGAAATCCTGTTTTCTCTGTGACCTGATTTCAGAAGAGACTGATCCAAAAATTATAACGGCAGGGAACCTAGTGCATTTGGCACTGAGATGTAAATGCAACCAGAATTGTCCTCAAGGCCCAGCCATAAAAGCATTGCCTCTCTCGACCTTCTGGTATCTTGTTAGAGAGCTTTTCACTGTGAGGAAGTATGGAAAAATGGCTGTGTGTGTGTGTGTGTGTGTGTGTGTAATCTGTTAGGTTGGGGATAGGTTTTCTGCTAGCCAATATTAAAAGAGACCTGCAATAAAAAATTACCCTGATCTGATAGAAAGCAAGTGTTTTTGTATGTGTGGTGAATGTGTGTTCCTGCCTGTATGTGTCTACACACAGATGACAAATTATATTTGAAATTGTTGGAAAATAAATTCAGATCAAAATATCTTTCAGGCCCCTTACCTAGAAATCTATCTTAAAACCTGGGTATGTTCCTAAGGTCATTTCTTTGCTTATGCTAAATTAATTACAATTATGAATGGAGGATATTCTACTGTACTTTTTTAAAAA